GTTTTATTTATTTCAAACGGGCCGGATCCTGCCTATGGGCCGTAGTTTGCCACGGCTGGTCTAGTTTCTTTGTATAATTACTTTCAGATTCATCCATGTGTATCAGTGGTTATTTTTATTGCCGAGTATTCCTTTGTATAGATGTACCATAGTTTATTTATTCATTTATCTGTTGATGGACATTATTTATTTATATGGTAGTTGAACAAAATTTGTTTTTTTTTTACTGTTGACACTATTATAGATGCCTATTGTTTTCTGCCCTCTACCTCCACCCAGCTTCCATCCCCTGGCCATCACCACACTTTTCTGTGTTTGTGGATCATCCATATATATTCTTTGGCTAATCTTTTCACCTTTTATCTAATTCTGCCCGCTTCTTCTCTGAGATCTGTCAGTCTGTTCCATGTATTCATACAGTACTAAGCATCTTTTTATGTGCTTACTAGAGGCCTGGTGCATGAAATTCATGGGGGGGCGGTGGCGGGGGAGGGGGAGATCCCTTAGCCTGACTTTCACCCCCTCAGCACAGTCCGGGAGCCCTCAGGGAATGTCTGACTAACAGCTTAGGCCTGTTCCCCTAAGCCAGCAGTCAGATATCCTTTGCGCTGCCACGGAGGCGGGAGCGGCTCCTGCCACTGCCACTGCACTCATCAGCCATGAGCCTGGCTTCTGGCTGAGCTGTGCTCCCACTGTAGGCGCGCACTGACCACCAGGGGCAAATTCCTGTGTTGTGTGGGATCAGGCTGAAACCGGCTCTCTGACATCCCCCAAAGGGTCCCAGATTGCAAGAGGGTGCAGGCCAGGCCGAGGGACCCCACTGGTGCATGATCAGGACTGGGGAGGGACATGGGAGGTTGACCAGCTGGGGAGGGACCACAGGAGGGCTCCAGGGTGTGTCTGGCCCATATCGCTCAGTCCCCGATCAGCCAGACCCCAGCAGCAAGCTAACCTACTGGTCAGAGTGTCTGCCTCCTAGTGGTCAGTGAACGTCATAGCAACTGTTCGACCTGTCGACTGTGTGCCCCCCGGTGGTCAGTGTACATCATAGCAACTGGTCCACCAGGTTGACTGTCTGCTCCCTGGGAGTCAGTGCACGTCATAGCGAGTGGTTGAGCAACCTTAGCATATCATTAGCATATTATGCTTTGATTGGTTGAACGGATGACTGGAAGGCTGGACACTTAGCATATTAGGCTTTTATTATATAGGATTTGCCATCCACCTGTCTACTTTGCCCACTTTTAAAATTTTTTTTATCGTTGAGTTTGAGAGTTCCTTATATAGTCTGAATGCAAGTCCTTTACTAGATATATGCTTTGCAAAAAATTTTCTCCTTATCTGAGGCTTATCTTTTCATTTTCTCAATGATTTTTGAAGAGAATAAATTGATGAAGTCCATTTTATCAATTTGTTCTTCCATAGATCATGCTCTTTGATATTGTAGCTAAGAAAATTTTGCTTAACGCTAGACACAATGATTTTCTCCTTTGTTTTCTTTTAGAAGTTCTATACTTTTACACTAAAAAATGATTTAACATTTTGAGTTAATTGTATATATACTCTGGGGTGTGGATTGAAATTCATTGTTTTGTATATGGATAAGGAACTTTCTAGCACAGCCGTGGGCAAACTACGGCCGCGGGCCGCATCCGGGCTGTTTGAAATGAATAAAACTAAAAAAAAAAAAGACCGTATCCTTTTATGTAATGATGTTTACTTTGAATTTATATTAGTTCGCACAAACACTCCATCCATGCTTTTGTTCCAGCCCTCCGGTCCAGTTTAAGAACCCATTGTGGCCCTTGAGTCAAAAAGTTTGCCCACCCCTGTTCTAGCACCTTTTGTTGAAAAAGGTTATTTCTCCATTGAATTGTTTTTGCAAAAATCAGTTCTATAATATAAATTTCATACAGTAAAAATGGAAAAGGTTTTTTGTTGTATTTTGGGAAATAAGTTCTAAAAAACCTAAATGTCCTGAAAGCTTCATCTTGTCACAGTCTTTCTTGGACATGTGCCTGAACAAAATGAATAAAAAGCACATTCTCTGATTTTGTTCCACAGGTTTTTGAACTTGAATAAAGATAGCATTTGTAAAATTTTATGTTTAAGAATTACATTCTAGGTATTTAAGGTTGATGGTTGTAATCTTGTTACATGTAAGTACTCTATAATTTGAGGTGGTTGATGTCACTTGGCGATATTCTTGTAAACATGAAGAGGTAATCTCCAGAAGAACTCTGATTAAAGAAGAATTACTTCGAGAAACTATTAATGGACTTAATAAGCAGGTAGGTGATGGGCATTTGTCATTTTTGAGAGGATATTTGAAAATTTTTATATAATCAAGAGCTGGTTTTTAAAGTTATGGCATTATTTTGTAAGCTAAAATATTTTAATATGTTAAATGTCTTTTTAATTCAAATTTCTGATGACTTATTTTAAATATTGTACTTTTTTACATTAAATCATTATGTCTCAAAGTTCAGTGAAACAAAATTTTAGTATATATAATACTTGGCAAAAGTATGTTGTTTTATTTATCCAAGTAATTGTGTCTTGAATATAATTACACACGCACATGCACACGCACACACACACTTGTTCAAGTATAGAAATTTCTAAAATAAGACACAGGAAATTGTTAACAATGACTACTTCCGAGAAAACCTGGTGGTTCAAGAGGGAAGATTAAGTTTTTACTTTATACCCTTTTGGTAGTATGGAAATTTTTTTAACTATATACTTGTATGATTTTTTTTTTCTTTGCACTGTTGGAAGGCAATTAGAATACGAGTGGATCACCTTAATGCAATCATGATTGACGTTGAAAGTGAGCTTTTCAATCTCTGTGGAATTTCACCTTTAATGTGTAGTCCTTCAGAGATGCCAAGCTGAAAACCTGGAGTATTTACTAGATCCCTTCACCTTGGAAGGCTCTGATCTCCAATTATTTACTTGCCAGCACTTTGTTTCTGCTAAAAATTCTTTGTTTTTCAGCGCTTTAGCCTTCATTTTGTGCTTGGTTTCTTGGCCCCTCCTCCTCGTTTCAGTTAATAATTAGCAAATTCCTGGAAGGGAAAAGTGACACCGTATTTTTAAATTTTTTTATTGATTTCAGAGGAAAGGAGAGGGAGAGAGAGAGAGAAACATCAATGATGAGAGAGAATCATTGATTGGCTACCTCCTGCACGCCCCACACTGGGGATGGAGCCTGAAATCCGGGCATGTACCCTGACGGAGAATCGAACCATGACCTCCTGGTTCATAGGCCGATGCTCAGCCACTGAGTCATGCTGGCTGGGCAAGTGGCACAGTATTGGTTCACTTCAATTTACTTCTCTTGGGATCTTCTTCAGTCTGGCTACGTGGGTAGTTTTCTATTGCATTCAAACAGGTTTTTATATGTGTCTGTCTGTATGTGTTCCCCGTTTTCTAACTTTCTCAGTGGGACAGTTGATCTGACACAAGTAGTTTACTGGGGCCAAAAATAGAGCTTGGTATCTTCATTTTAAATCTAGGATATTAAAGGTCATGCAGTGTTGGATGTGGGTATAAAATGATCTCTTTACCTAAGTTTTTAAAAATTACTTTGAACTTTCTAGTGTTCATTTTATTTTCCAAATAATTATACATATGAAAATAAAGTTTGTTACTTCTTTGAAGATTCCTTTAAAATACATGTCTTAAGTATATTCTTACTTAGAGTTGGGCTTCCACATTTTCCTAATCTTAATGACTTTTTTAAAAACATGTATTGTAGAGGCAAATGTCTTTGTCAGAAAACAGAAGAAAAGAACTTCTCCAGAGGATCATTGTGGAGCTTGTTGAATTTATTTCTCCCAAGACCCCTAAACCTGGAGAACTTGGTGGAAGAATATCTGGGTCAGTGGCTTGGAGAGTAGCCCGAGGTGAAATGGGTCTAGAGGTATTTAATTCATTATACCATGATAATCTCACTTTCCTGCTTCTTATAGTGTGCTCTTTACTTACTGAAAAAATGCATTGACCATGACTTTTCAATTAACTTTTCAGCTTCATTATTAAAAACTGAAACCGGTGATTGATTGACATAGTCTAGTCACATACAAGAGAGTTAGCAAAACATTTTAAAATAGGATTTTTCTATTTACTTTTCATAAATTTTGAGTATAGTATAACTTTTACTGAAATATATACAGAAAAATGCACACATTGTAAGTGTACAGCTGAACAGATTTTTACAAATTGAGCACCCATGTAATCACTAACCAGAATAAGAAATAGACTTGCATACATCTGGTATTGGTTAGAAATTATTGCTGCTGGTGTGATTGCTATTATATTGTCAAACTTATTTTAAGATATCTCTTGATTAATCTTCCAAAATTAAATAATGAACAATGGAAATATAATGTCTATAATTAGAGGGTAGGTGAAAAGCTCTGTAATAAACATGAAGAAAGTACAATAGACTGTCCCTTTTCCCTTAGGGAGTTTAAAGTTGACTCACTATAAAATATTTTATTTACTTTTTAATAAATATATTCTTATAAAGTATTTTATATGAAAGTCTAAGGTGACTTAGATAATGTAATGAAAAGTGCTTGAAAGGAAAATAACCAATCACAATATCAATATGGACAATTCTAAACTAATTAAAGTTTTATATCCACTTTTCTAAATTTGCAACTCATTTCTCCAATAAAGAAATATGTCTAAAGGGAGTGAATTATCTTCAGTAACTTTGTTTGCTTGTTAATTTATCCAGAATCTTTAGCAGGCAGTTGGAAGTGTTGGCTCAGCCATAGAATTACAAGATCTAAATTCAACAAATCATTCAAATCATTGCTGATGCAGTGCAAGTTATAAGTATAAATGTAAATGAAGCCAGTTTAAAAGAGCTAATTTAATTCACAGCTGTGCTCAATTTAAAACATTGATATTATTTAGGTCTTCATTTCTTTTTATGGATGGGTGTGCTTCCTCTTGTATGACATATAAGTTGATTAAACTTTAAAAATATGAATTGGATCATATGCTCAGATTGTTTCCCCTTTTGAAAATTTTTTAAAATTTCTCTATTACTGAAGACCGTATTAGAGCCGTGGACTTAAAAATGTCATTTTCCTCTTTAGAAATAAATGTTTATTTTAAAAGTAAGTTGAAAAATGTCAGTCCTAAAAATTTTTGGAACTATACCTCGAAATAAGTTGATGATATCCTGTGATTTCTGGAAAGAATAGTTTCATGTTAATCTTAGATTAAAAGATTTCATGAAATATTAATGTCATTCTTACTCCAGATTGTTTAGTTGCATACATGGTATGTTCAGTAACATATATTTTTCTTTTCCCTTTTGCAATTAGTTGTCCTTGTAAAATATAGATACTGCTACTTTAAATTTTATTTCCATTTGGCTATGTCGATTCTGAAATATCTTTGTTGTTACATGCTTGCTTTGAAGCAAATACACTAACTTATAATACCAATATCTAAAAAGAATAAACTGCTTTTATTTTACTTTTTTGACAGTAATAGTCATAGGTTCTACTAGGGAATTATCTTATTTATACATGCAATGTTACTGTTTTGTAATTCTGACAGTGATTACAAATACACATATGTAATTATTTTTTTCTTTCCTTTTCTAAGATATATATTTTTAGTGATTGTTGTACATTCAAAGTTTTATATTGTTTAATACCTAATATCCAATGCTGAACAAAAAAAGCATATCCTGAATG